CCCCCCCCCCCCCCCCGGTTGAATGCGTGGAAACGAAAAAGTCAGACTTGATCGCGAGTTCTCCTTGTGTTTCCGCCACGCGTGTCGTGTCAGCGCTGAGTTGACTCTTGATAAATCTTGAGTGCCCCAAGCGTGCTTTTGTATGGTCCACGAAGAATGCGCGTAGAGAACGCCTCCCATGTGTCTTATGCCGCGGGAGGGATTGCCGCTTGTCTGATTGGAATGCCCCACCCCCACAAGCACCCAGCCGCGCCCAACCAGGCCATCCGGCGCAGGTCACAGAAGCACGAAACGACGAATGGTTGCAAGTCAAGTTTGTGGACAACCGTTCGCGTAACACCCAAGGTGGTCACATTCGCGGAGGCTAGTAATTCGTTCCTTCCGTTTGTGCGTTGTGTGTGGCTCAGTAGTCTGATGCCTCCGCATGAGAACTGTTAGTCACTCTCCCCTCCACAAGACGCCCGGGCGGCATCATGAATCCCCTGACCCAGACACCACGAAACAGAATACGACAGGACCATGGGGTGTCTGCCAAAGGTGGGGCTATCGTGCTCATGTCGCGGCGTTTTCTAGACTGGAAATACGGGAGTACACTACAAAGCTTCGGAGGTGGTGTATAAAGTACAAAAATGTTCTCTCCTCATGCTGTAGACCGAACACGAACAAAGCCGGTTTTATTCAGCCTTTCTCAAGCCTCGAGAGCGAGTCTCTTTTGACATGAAATTCAGCACGCAACCACGCTCTGGCCTCGCCACACCAGTGCCGGGGGCTCCTCTTCGTCTGCGTCCTCCGCCGCCACGGCCTCGTAGAAGCCCTGCTGGCTGATGCCGCTCGGGAAAGCGAACGTCCCCTCGCCCTTTGGTCGCCCTCCCTCAAAGCGGCCCGTGTATACCGTTCCGTCCTGATGATGAAAAACAAAGATGGTAGTACAAAAAATAGTACTAGTAAGGCCGTCATCGCACGCATCAACAAGTGTCCGACAAGACGGGCGGGAGAGGGCTGGCTCGGTAGTTTGGGCAAAACTGTTCACCTGCGGCGGCTTCCTCCACCCGAGAGCTCTTCGAAAAGGTTTCCAACAAAACGAAACAGCCAGAAGCTCTCCAGCAAAGGACAACAGCCGCGCACGGAGCAGACCGTGAGAAAACATAACCCATACTCGACCCCAAAAAGCGGCACGCCACGCGTTTGGAGAACGGCGACAGGTCATACAAGATGCAGGAAGTTGTGATCTGAAAGAAAACAACTTTGAATACTAGTCCACAGTCCACGGCAGTATCCGCTGGTGGTGGGGACCTCTCTGTGACCACATATTTTACCTTGAAGACCCACGTTCCCTCGGTGATGGTGCCGTCGACCCACGTGCCGTGCATGGTGCTGTCATCCGCGCCGAACTGGTACATTCCCTGGCCGCTCTTCTTGTTGGCCACCCAGGTGCCGCTGTAGATGTCCCCCGTTGCCTGCCGTTAGTGTTTTTGAATTGCGTGTCCACAATAGAATAGTCGGCACGCATGAAAGTCAGGCAACAAGAGCGATTCAACACGGGGGCCATCGAAAACAACTGACCTTTGTCCTTGAACATTGAGACAGGTTCACCCAACAGCTACTGTATAGCTCTTATCCTTCGTCCGTTGGGACGCGGGTGTCGAGCGACTGAGCCATTGAGTGGGGGGAACTGCGAGATGGTACAATACTGGCATGGGGACTGGATGTTCATCAGAGCGTGGTACGCTGGTGAGTACTTTTAGGTTGGCCTCGTTTTTCGGATTGATGGCTGCTGGGGTAAGTTGATTGGTTACATGAAGTAAATCACGAAGAAGGCGTCCGCGTCAGTTGGGCCAGTCTAGGAGAGTTTTCTCATGTTACGACGACAATACACAACAACAATGCCTGCAGCAACGCTCATATAAACCTGTTACGAATTCTACATCTGCTAAATAAAATGGTTGCGTGGTACTGTTGAGTTGAACGGCTATGCTATATCTCCAGTCATATCGTTCATGCCCATCTCTGTGCACGGCGAAACGAGGACGAACCTTGTACACGTAGGTCCCCTCGCCCTCCATGGCGTTGTCCTTCCATTCCCCCGTATACTCGTCTCCGTTAGGATACGTCATCTTGCCGGTGCCGGCTTTTTTGCCGTCCGTGTAGTTGCCCTCGTACGTTGCGTATACCTGGTTGATGTTTGACGCACGATGTATTCAGGCGTTCAGAAGGATTGGCAAAGCCGTGTAGTGTTCGTTTTCTTTGACCGCCTTTGAAAAAATATCCACGAGGAGGCAGTCTTGTGTTGTACGCAGGGCCGACATTTTCCCCATGGATACCACTTTTCTCCTGCGCTCGCCTGTCTCGCTATAGACTGCTCCAGTATCAGTATTCCAGTGGGAGATCACATCGATTAGCCCAAGTCACCGCATGCCACAGGGCACAGTGCGTTGTTCTGCAACAGACAAACGAGCGCGACACGTGCCAACGTACCACACACATTGAAAAACCTCCAGTCTTGTTCGACCCACTGTCATCGGCATTTTCCCGATCGGACCACTAGGAAGGTGACACGTCAAGAACCGCACAACACAGGTAGACTGCAACAGCGCACACCTGAGGGTCCTCCCCGTCTTCCTCTGCAGGCTTCATCCAGATGTACTTGCCAGGTCCGTCTTTGATGCGCTCCCCGTTGAAGACCCCCTCGAAGCTCGACCCCTCGGCATAGGTCACCTTCGCCTTCCCCGGTCTCGGCAGCCAATTTGCCACCTACGACGCGCATGAAAAGTGGGGGAAAGGGAGCAACCGCACCGCTAGCTAATCAGTAGGTTGGATGGCTAACGAGAATGTTGTAAGACGCCAAGAGGAAGGCATGCCCCGCCTCAAATGGCAGGCAGAAACTAGTATGGGTGTGGGCGACACAAACGTACAACTACTACTGCGTCAAAACAATGAACAACTTGTTTGGACTCATGATAAATAGCGAGTCTACATAGTGGGGTGACATTTGTTGTTGGTAACTCCACCGACATGATGGGGGGGATCCACGTGCTTCGTCATAATGCTGACATTGTTCATATCTTGTTTGCATGAAAACAGGACTACTTCTGTGCTGTGAGGCACAGCAGTGCCACGTTCAAATGTGACCTCAGCAGAAACATGCCGGATAAATAGCAAAATCGGCATGGACTTCTTATGCAAGGTCGAGAAACATCCTAGCGTCAGCCATCGCTTCTGCTGCGACGATTGTTGTCGGACATCTGCAATCGAGGCGGCACGTGACGACCTCAGGGTCGGGATCTAACAGCAGTAGTCTAGACTACGTCTTTGCTCGCCGATTGCGCGTTTCACGACATGGTGGGCCCTGCTGGTGGTGTAGACTACCCATACAGCAGTACAAGGGCCTTCAGCCGAACATTTGTTAATCAGCCCTCACAAAGAAACTCTGCCTACCTCATATGCCACAATGGTGGTCAAACCATACCCACCTATGCCTAAAGACAGCGTGATCGACGAAACATGGATGTGGCCTACCGCATCGAGGGTCGCATACATATATCCATGTACCTCGTGTTCGGTATCTTCCGCTGTGTCCAAGTACTCCGCCTTGTACTCCACTTCTTCGTCACCCATGTTTGGTTATCTACGTCCAGCTCTCCACCAGCGAATGCTCAGTATTTGCACGCACGCCGATGGATCGTAAAGCTTGCAACAACACATGCAAAGAAACGCCATATGCATAGCTACTTCTGTAGATTTGTTTCTCCTAAGATATACATGGAGCGCGAAGTGAAACCGCCGACTGGAACCGTTCGCTGCCGGTTGGATGTTGCGCCGCGTTGAGGTTTCGCCGCACGTTGTCAACGTTGTCTCTGCTGTTTCCGCCGGCCGCTGGCTGCGCCAGCAGCTGACGGCCGTGCGGCCGTGGTTGAAAGCAGAAGTTCGTGGAAACCCTTGTTGCTAGAGCTGCAGTCTGCTGCATCAAGAGTTCCGCTTTTCGCTGCATGTTGCAGCAGCAACTTGTGTGCGAGACAGGTCTCCAAGGGGCGTTGCTTGTGTGGCCACTCGGTTGACGCGAAGAAAGAGAGAACATGTGCGCTTCGTTCGCACCTCCCAAGCCCTCCGCGGCCTTCACCGTGGGGAAAGCGGGACAAGACGTCGCTGAGCCCGCTCGCCGGTGAGTGTTACCTCAGGTAGAACCACATTGGCCAATCTGTTTGTCGCCCACACGTCTCTCAAATAGTGTCAGCTTGCCACGTGTGTTGCTCTGCAAGGCCCACCTACGATGATGCGACTAAATTTATTCGCACAACTTTTAGAAAGTAGACAAACAACTTTTCCTTTCAGCAGTTGGTCTGCAAATTTCAAACTCGTAAACAGAACTCTGTGAACAGCCGTTTGCTGCAACAATGTGAAGGCACCCTCACAACCTCTAGGGGCGGCAAGGTCAGAGGCCGCCCCTGCCGCGACACACTTTGGAAAGCAGTTGTGCCTGCACAAGTGTGCATCACATGCATAGATCCGACGATAATGAAACTTGCACGAGGGAGACGATAATTGTTCCAATTTGAAAAGGAGAGGCGCCTTTCTGGGTAGGTTCGTTTGGCCCTCGCTGATGAACATCGTCCAGAGTTTACTGGAAGGTGCCCTTGTGCCAGTGTTGCAAAAGTGATTGTGCTTTGTTCGTCCCATCTCTTCTGGGCGCTGGTCTACACGTTCGGTAGACTATTTGTTTGACGCACAGGATAGGATGAAAATGACAAAGCCCGCAACAATAACAGAAAAAAACTGTCTTGAGCGGTCGTACATCTGCAACTTTGTCTCAGAATTTTTTTCAAGTTTGAAGAATTCCATTTACAAATGTTCACATCTTCTGTTGTTATTTCTCTTCTTTTCTTTACTGCCGTGTAGCAAGCACGGACCAACATCAACACGGACAGCTACTAGCAAGTGCAGAGGTGCCACTGCCCGCATCCCTCATTTCCACGCCTCACTGACACATACGTCTTCCACGCGCACAGGACATACCACCCTGTACATGAACCCCGGCGGAATCGCGTGCCAAACTAATCCTCCTCCTGGTGCTGATTTGTTGTTTTCTGTCCTTCGATTGCCCAGGCGAACCTACAGCAGCAACGGGCGTCGAAATAGAAGCCTGTCGCCCCTGGCCCGAGAGTTGCTGAACGGCGGCAGGAACGCATTCAGTAGCGAAGACGCCGTCACCCCTCTCTCTACAGCAGGCAGCGGTGCCGGGTATCATTTCGGCTCCGGCGAGGGGACCCCAACCCCCCTTTCGATCAGCCAGTCGCTCAAGGCACGCGGCGGGTACTCCATCACAATGCCGGCAGCCTTGCCGATGTTATCGCCGACCGGCGATGAAGGACCGGCTAGCACCGGGTTTTCCTCCACCGGTGCTTCCGGCGGCACCACCGCCAGCGCCGGCGGTGCCGCCACCGCTGGTGTCTCCAACGCCACCGCGGCCGCCAACACGATCCCGACCTTCTCTGAGATAACCCGGGGAGTCATCGATCGGAACGGCGCCGTCCCTCTCGAGCCCTTCGCGAGGGCGCGGGTGAGGGCCGTCGAAGAGGGGTGGGCGCGCTGGGCGGCGGACCGGCGGGAGCGAGAGAAGCGGCGGTGGATCAGGGTGCTCTCGGTCGTGACGTTTCTCGTCCTCGTCGCCGTCCTGGTCTGCAGGCGGATCGGTGTGGGTAGGTGGAGTTTCGAGTCCGAGACGAATGTAACGAGGAGGCTTTTGGTGTTGGCCTTCGACTTTTTTTTTAATCCTTGGGTACAATTTGGTTTTGTCTGTGGCGACGGAGTTCGAGGGCCGTGTCCCGCTGGTTGGACCAAAACGCCATAGAGAAGGAAGGTGTTGGTTCGTACGTGTACAGAGGTCACGAGCCAATTTTGCTATGACAACATTCATTTTTTTATTTTAAGACGCACAATAAATACAAAATTCTATCGGAGAGATAATGGCCCTTTGCATGACTCTCTCTTGCAGTACTTTGCTGTGTTCGATCCGCAGCGATCCATGACTGCTGTTCACACGAGTTTGGAGAAATAATACTCGTGTATCTCCGTGAATGTTGTTCCCTCCGAGCGTGTTTGTCATGTCTGCAGAGGCCAAGACACAATGAATTTTTACTCGCGTTCCAGTACGATGTCGGGATCTGGGGAGCTGTCCACTCCATGAACCTCTCGCTAGCGCAACAAGAGGTGTTGCATCGATGGTTTTTCGTTAAGTCCCACGTCGCCTTACCCGGCCCGTTTGGCTTACACGTATTCTGCATGTCGCGTTTTTGGCAACACCATTCAAGAAACGGCATTGCACGGTGATGGAACACCGCGTTCTTTAAAACCGTGTGGCCGCTGTGTCGCTACTTTTTCTGATCCCTCATAGGCATCTCGATCAGTGGCCCAACGGCGACGTTGCCTCCCGGGGCGAAACCGTCGCGGAACGGCGGCCCCGGCGAAGTCGTCTCGGTGCGAGACCTCTTCTCGGCCGCAGTGCACGAGATGCCGGCGATCGTCTCCTCGAGGGACGAGCTCGCCGCCGTGCTAAAGCTCGTCGGGATCAAGAAGGCGAAGCCGGAGCAGGTGGGGCGGGCGTGGTCGGCTCTCGTTTCGGGGGAAGCACGCTACGTTGATGTCGGCGGCGGCGGTGGCGGCGGTGGTGAGGGCATCTGGCAGCGCTACGTCAAGGGCGGAGCGCTAGCGGCCGAAGTTCTCGTTGCCGGGGTGCTCCGAAACGCTGCCGCGGTGGCACTTCTGGCGGTGACCTTCGCGACGGTGGTCGCGGCCGCGGCGGTAGTCTCCCGCGGCTCGCCATCGCGGGGGCAGAGCAGGGGTGGGGGTTTCACTTGCGGGACGGGCCAGGGAGGAGGAGCGGCCGCGAACGGCGGCGGTAGCAGCAGCAGAGTCCGCGGCGGGAACCGTCTTCAAGCGCTGGGGGGTGACGGCGGCTGCGCCACCTCCAACGGAAGGGCAAACGGGCGCAGCGGCGGCGGTTGTGCCCCCCGGCCAGGAGGCGATCTACGGAGTCCCTCCCCGATGTCCCGCAGGTTGTGAGCTGGAAGGATGTAACACTGAAGATGTTCTTAAGAAAATCAATAGAGTGCACATACGTTCGGGGTTGCATCGTAAAGAGGATAATGTAGACTGCCTCAACGATTGGTTGAGTTGATGTGGTATGTAGTCCTACAGCAATAGTGGGGGCTACGTTTTCAGGGAGCCTGGTGTTAAGAGGGTACCGGGTCCGAGCGAGATATGTAATCTATGTATGTAACACGGAGTTTTTTTGCTTGCAGGAAATCTCGGAGACAACCCCCACCGAGATAAACCCCCTTAACTTGGACGGTAATATTCGATGAAGCCCCCTGATGGAGCAGCCACGCTTGGAGCAGTGAGGGCAGCTCACGGCTTCAAAGGCCTCGCCTTGTGTAACGTGCTCCCGGGACCTGTGCTAACCCTACCCTATCCCACCCGTTGGCAGTAAGGTCCAATCATCTCGGAGTCAGAACCGAGCTGCTAAGATAGAACGGTCAAGAAATGACGGCGGACCAACGTGGATGGATATCCAATCGCCGACGTGTGCGGGCATGCCCGATGTTGTCGTACATCCTCCGGGATAGGCAAAGCTCGCCAGAAGATCGGCGACCTCGTCTCGAGAAAAACGAGGAAGATACGTGCACACGGCAAAGTTCTCCCCTAGTGCTGGAGGAGCACAAATAGAGTATGACCCGGATGGCTCATTGCCGTGCATTGCCTGGTCTCCCGTCCGATCTCATTTTGAAGTACCCCTCTCTCCAGAGCGAATGGCGAGGACAACGTCGTACTGCACGTCAAAAAGAGCGTGACAATACCATCTCTAGTTAACTAAATCCGCTCTTTCTGCGTAGTAGCTGAGGGTGCAGCTCTATCCCCCATTAACCCGTTAAGTCAGTCAGGCAAGTCTTGCACCCCCCTCATCACGGCGACTACTGTTCTTTAGGGGAAGGGTGTGGGTGCGACTGCCTTGTTCAACTGCTTGCGTTCGCCTCGGATACCCTGCGCACAATCTTTGAAATTACGAAATTACGTCTGTAAGGTCTACTGCACCATCGCCAATGTTGCTACTACATGGACGTCGTCATTTATCGGGAGACTATCTCACTTCACCCCCACAAGATCAACACGAGCGCCAGGCACACCATACAACCCCCTCATCAGCACCCCCTTGGCACGTGTAGGGACAGGGTGTCGCATGGTCAATGACTGAGGATGTGCACAGGACGTGTAGCCGGCGCACCGCCATGTCCTGCTAGTGCCAACGACAAGCGCGTCGACTCTAAGTGGGTGGCGGGCTGTATCATCAGTCGACACTCACCCACAACTGCATGCACCCCTTTCGTTCCCGCTAGGCATCACATACGAACAGGCGCTTAGCACTACAAAGGAAGAGGACAAGCCAGGACCCTCCCCCCACCGGGCAGCGTCGAGAAGCACGCGCGAAAAACTGGGGTGTTCAAAGGACGAAACACATATCATTACCGACACCACACACAGATCCAGCGGCGACGCCTCTGCCACGTTTTTCCGTTTCCCGTTTTTAGCACGAGCAAACGGTGGCATCCGGAGACCCCTGAGCGCAGACGGGGAGGGAACTGCCACCTATTCCGCCGCCGAGGCCTCCGCTACCACTAGACGTCCCGCTCCCAGCCGCCCGGATGTACACCGAGTCCAGGGCGACGCTCTCGTGTCGCTTCGTGAAGTCTGACGAAACGAAGACGACCATGCACGGGAATTCGACCGTTTCGGATAAAACGGGAAACGAAAGAATGCGATGGAAGCACGGGGGTGGGGGTTGAATCATGAAAGTAGGAGGGTGATATACTGGATCATCTGCGCATGTGCCGTGAAAGCCGGGTTTGTGCGCGCGCGTATGTATGCTATTAGTCTGAACCGCTCTGGGTATTGTGCCTCTCGCGTTTATGGGACGCAGGTCCTTGGAAACATAAGCATTGCTATGCATAGAGTTGTAGAGAGCCTGGCGAGCACACGCTTTGGCCTTCCAAGCATACGACCGGGAAGGTCGGGAAGAAGCTCGACTGCCCACGGGGTGCGGTGCACTGGCGGTGCCAACAGCATTGTCCGACAATAACCACCCTTCACGCCGCAGCGGAAACCTCTCAAGAACCTTCTTCTCTTGCACGGTTTCACCCTTTCCCTCAACTACTATCCGGAAGCCGCTTTTCCCCCCAAATAGCAGGAAAGGCCCGGTCGAAAACTGTACACCTACACACTTACCCCCGAGTATTCGGAGCTCGCTGAGGTTGGACAGCACCTCCGCCATCTCGCACTTGGTTGGCGGGGCTGCCTGGATTTTGGCGCGGGGTGTTAGCCAAATGGGGAGGGGGGGGCGGAGGGGCGGGGTGGGCACTTGTTTCTTCAGGTGTGATACCCAGCATCCCAACAAGACCAAAGCGGGATATAGGGTCTAAGAGGGTGGGTACTTGTCGCGCTCTCTTCCGTTCAAGACCTCCATCACGCGTCACCTATTTCCACACCAGTCCACGCACGAGCTGCACTTTCCATGAACGGAAGCGGGGGGAGCGAGAGCAAGGGTGTATTCAGCACCAGCCCGATAACAAGAACGTATAATAAGTAAAGAATGCGAGGTCGAGCTTCGAGAAGAAACCTAGACGGCAAAACGTAATCGACAAAGAGTTGAGGACAAACGCTCGACCTTCGCCGCACATGAAACAGTCAGGGTGAGCGTGTTTAGCTGTTCCTTAGTGATCAGGTCGATCCTCTGTACATCGCGCTGCAGCAATCTTATATCGACACAGGAAACACGCCCGGAAGTTGCAGTTTTTTAGCCTCCACTCTCTGCATTCTACACCACGCTTCGCACCTGCTTCAAGGTATTCTCGGGGTCCTTCAGCCACCCCCCCGTCTCGGAGAGGGGGATGGAGAATGACACCCCAGTGCCCCCGCCCGCGAACCCCCCCGCGACGGACAGGGGAAAGGCCAACGTCGTTCCCGTGTTTCTCGCGCACGCCGAGCAGTAAAGCTCGACCAACCGGAGGGCATCGCCGTTCAGATTTTCTGCAGGTGGAGGGGGTGGGGTCGGGTAGGTTCGGCAGCTGCAGGTTAGGAGCGTTGGTACGTGTGTTTAGGGCTGTGCCTGTGTCAACACGGCCTTCCGTTGGTGCTTAACATGCTACCAGCGTCCCCCCTCCTCCTCCGCCTCCTTCCAGTGCTTTGTGCGAAAGGAGGAAGGTTGAAGGATCTGCCGTCCCACTGCGAGGCGCGTGCAGGATAAATGCAAGGCCCTGCTGCTAGTTGCATGTCTGCTGTTGTTGCGGCATGGGCATGGGGGAGAAAGGCGCGGAAGAACCCACCCGCCCACCTGCTGAGAAAGTTCCCGAGAACGATCCGATTGAGAACTCCAGAGTCCCCGCGTACGCCACCCCTAGGTTTCCCGAAAAGGCAGAACCGGCTTTGAACCACCACAGCGTGTCGTCTACCCCGTCGGCTGGTCAGTCGTACGGGAAAAGGGGCGTAATCGGCAGGATGTGCATTGCAGCGCAAGGCAGAAGTGGCAAAAGGGGCGCAATTGGCAGGATGTGCATTGCAGTGGCAGGCACGGTGACCTGCGATCAAGGGGAGCGGGGGTTACCCTTCAGGCCCCTAACATGAAATCAGAATGTCGTTTAGTCTCCCTCTGAATACATTGATTGTCGAAACCCCGATATTTCTATCATTTCGAAAGAAGACACGGCGACTACTGTGGTGTTCGCGTTTTTGCTCGCGGCGAAGTCCGGTTGCCCGACACTTCCACCGAATTCTAGAAACGGACGCCACGCCCAGTGCAAGCGTTTCTCGCGTAAGAGCTCACTGGAAAGTATATTCTATTTCGAACGACTGCAGATGCGCCATGTGTCGGGGACATATCGGTACACACAGTCGCGTGCCGCGTGCTCCGCACCTCCTCGTGTTTCCATTTGTCTCGCAACCTTATCAATTTCGTTTTATTCAACGAAGGGCACGTGACGCCCTCACCGTCTGAGTGCACGATCGTGTCCGACCCCGACAAGAAAAAGCTCAGTAAACCCCTGCTGCTCGGATCGTGCCTCGCCGCCTCGCAGTACGACCCTCCGCTCTGGCACACCTATGTACGCAACGCGGCGGCCATAAGTATCGCGCGCGATAGTCAACGACCAGCGCGTCGCGCTTGAAAGAACAGGTACTGGCTAGGGCATGGACAAGCCGCACGCTTGTTACGTTGTTCCATGGTGCATGCTTCTAGCTGTAGAGCAGCCTTGTTCACGTCGGTCGCGCCCCCTCCAACATCGAGACTTCGAATAGGCGTTGTCAGACGGCTTCTCGGCAAAAATGAACCACAACTCTAATATTCGGGATGGCGCTGCGTGCTATGACTTGTTCTCCCGTCGGCAAATAACTCATTGGTCGTTTGCGCCCCCTAAGTATTCGCTGCTTGTCGTTAATGGCAAAACACCAACTCCAACGTTTTTTGTTGGTCCTTTGGCCAACGGTTTTTGTTTGTCCTTTGTGCCCCGAAATATCAATATTCGCTGATTGTCGTTAAAGGTAAAGACCGAATCTATTTTGTCCATGTCATCGTACCTTCCACGTGTCGACTCCAAAGTCGAACTTCGCAGCCTCCAGGAGCCCTCCCCCCGACACCAGGTACACCGTGCCGGCCTTCGCTAAGTCGCTCCCGTCAGACACGGTGTAAGTGAAACTGCCAAGACGCGGAAGTACGAAGGGGCACGGAGGGAAGAAAGGGTGAATGGGCCTAGCGCCTATTGAAGGACACCTTTCTACTCCCAAGGTTGCCATGTCAGGTTTGAGGATCAATACTACTGTACGTGTTACGACATGACCTGCAATGTAAGCGTATGAGCATGGGTTCGACTACTCTGCCTGAAACGGCGGCATTGGTGGCGCGGTCACGGCGCTCACCGCCGACGTTGGCCAAAAAAATGAGCTCAGTCTCTATCCTAGGGTGAAATAGTGGAAACTTGGAAATTCTCACGACCTGTTTCTCGTCTGCAACAAGGAACGGTGTGGGCATAACCGGTCGGGGACACAAGCAGAAGGCTCTTGTCGCCCGTTCAACGAAAGGCTTTCCCCCGCTCCTCTCAGGTTCTGGCACTGTTGGAACTCGGGGACGCCTGCATACCTTCCCCATCGCCCAGTCGGCTCAGCATCCGCCGCCGGTCTCTTATACACCACGCGATTGCCTGAACCGGTCACTTCAATGCCACCACCTCCAGCGATAACCTCGCCTGCTGCTGGGTCGTACCCGTACTCAGAGTACACCTTGGAAAGCTACGAGGATGACGTGGCCGACGCGAGAAATGTTGATGCGCGTGGTCAGCACGAAATGGTTGCGCTTTGCAATGTAAAAAACTGCTCCCATAATTCATTGGCACGTGGTTGTAGAGGCAGGCTTGTACGTACGATGGCTTCGTGGAGGTGGCACACGGGCCCCAAGAGCTACTCATTTCTTAGGTACACCGGCGAAATAAGTCAGCTGCTCCATTTTGACAGCGTCCGTCTAGGCCAGTGCACTCGCCTTACTTGCCCAATATTTGGTGCTTTGATAGCAGGAAGCGAGTGAGGGCCGTCTTTTGTTGGTCACCCGACCATGGTGTGCTAAGTTGACATAGAGAGTAGCAACATGGAATACGAGAGGGAGCAGCTTCACTGTCAATTCGAACAGAGTTGTACCAGAATGTTTGGGAGAGAGATTCTCGTGCTATGTGACGCATCAACGTAGACCTAGAAACACTTTTTACAGGCGGTGCCATCGATGGCCTACCTGGTGAAGGGTACCCGTTTCCGGCAAAGACGATATGGTGGCAACGAGATCGTCCCCGTCTAAGTCGTAGCCAGATAAGCGAATAACTGCTTCCCCCCCGGGAGAAACAGAAACCACTTGGTGCAAAGCTAGCGGAGCTGGTGCAGTGACACCCGCGCGATGCAGTGGAGCGATGATACAGACAAAGCGACATAATCCATGATTAAGGCATAGTCTGTAGACAAACTTCACCATGTTTGGGTTGGCACTACCAGGACAAGTAAAGTTGCCCTGGAAATACATCATACTTTTCATACACACCCCTCATTGTGTAGCCTGTAGATGAAGTTCCATCTGAGCCACAGGCTGAGGTGTCATGGGGAAGCTGGGTGTGAAAGAGTAGCGGAGCGTATCCGTAGTCAACGTGGTACTCATTATCCAGTCCGCTGAGGCACTCACTCTCTGCTCGGGCAACAATAGAAGTAGCCCGTGCAGTCGAAACAGAAACAACCATGAAGGAGGTTTACATGACCGCCATCTTACCCGAACATTTGCCAGAACTCTAACTGTAGGGAGGGCATTGATCGTGTTATCACGCATGTACTCCATGAGTTTGCAGGAACACCTCGCCAATAGCAGAACCGTCCACATAGTCGTACTTTGTCTCTGGACACCCATGGAGCTCTACATAGGTCAAGAGCACTTTAGCACGCACGCAGACTTGTGTACTGCTTCTGTGAATACAAACACATACATGCATCGCCTTGCTTGTATCCCATAACTTTTAGAAGCAATAAACATGCATGCACACCTATTGCTGTTGTTCTCCATGTGCACGAGACCAGAAAAGTTAACAAGGAGGTCAGACCGACAGCAGTGCTTCTTGTTCTCGGCCTCGATCTCGTCCTCGTCCTCGACCTCTCCATACGAGGGAAGAGCAACGCGGCAACAACGCCGCTCCTGCTGCTGCTGTTCCTGCTGCTGCTGCTGCAGCTTATGCCGCCAAATGGTGCGAGTTGTGTCGGGGCTGTATGTCCTCGTTTACGGCGCTACCGAATTCCTCCGCACGACAACAACGAAACTCCGTCCTTGTCGTCCTCGTCGTTTGCCGTTGAGAGCAGAAAGGTGGCGTTACAGAATTATACCGCCTTTGATTTTTTATAACGCCCCCCATCCCATCATCCCCTCTGTGGCGTACACTCTGTGTGCCCCCTAGATCGTATTCAAGCTCTGTCATCTCTCGTCACGGGAAGCAAGACCATCCTTCACGCGAAACAACAACCCTTTAGCAGTCTTGTAAGAATCCAGCTACCTCCACCACCATGAAGTTTGAGATGGCTGCTACATTGGCGTTGGCCGCGGGCTCTTCGGCGTTCGTTGCTCCCTCCGTTCCCTTGAACACCCGCGTTGCTCCGTCGAGCGCATCCTCGAAGACGAGCATGATGGCGGGAGAGCGGTCGAAGTCGCTGCCTATGCTTCCCCAGCCTCCTCTGGTAAGAAGGGCGATAACCGAGGGACTGAAAACTGAAGCAGATATGTACGATGTGTTCGATGATTTGGGGACAATGCTTCGGGTATGAGTGTGTCGCTGCCGGCATGCACGTACACCACCTGCGCTATCGTGTTTCCTCTGTCTGGTTTGAATACGACAGCAGGAACAACAGCAGCGTTTTATGTCGAACTTGATACTCTCACTTGACGACCCTAACACCGGTATCAAGCGTTAGACCAATGTCTCGACCCATGCCGCCCGTTCGTCAGAGACATATCTCTGCGGACAAATCTTGCTCTCCTTCCCAAGGACACAAGACAACCAACCTCGAAATTATCTTTTTGGATCATGAACGAAAAACTTGACCATCCACACGTCATGCTTTCTTTTTCCTACAAAAGAGACAGATGGCTGAAATGGGAACGGCATGCCGTGTATGTTTGAAACTGGGCATGATAATTTCTCGTGCCTTTGTTCCTCTGGTCACGCGCACCCTAGACAGGAATGCCAGTTGTCAGCCACCACTCCTTCTGTATTCCCCACTATTGATGCCCGCTACCCACTATGCACCCCATTTCGAGCGCAGCAGCGGGCGGCAACATCTTCGCCGATGTGCATCTATCTGCGTGTCCCCCTTTTGTGTCGCACGTGATGTAGCCTCCAGATGTATGCATAGGATATCGCTACTTCATGCACGCTTGCGAAACTCCTCTTCCGCCGCAAGCTCTCTTGTCATGTGCTGGTTCATTTGTTTGTTAGGCTTCCGGGCCACCGACTACTAGAAAGACCGCATGCATGTGCCTATCTCAACACAGATCCTGCGAGCACGAACACGTGCTTGTGGTTACCTACTTCGGTGCGTGGAAGCGGCTCTGCTGTTGTAGCGCCAACGCATGACGGACGCATGTATGAACGCAGCCCCCCTTGCCTTCGCCAGTATAATTGTATATATGGCGAGAACCCTGTTGACATCCTCAGTGGTGTTATCTTTGTACATGCCGTTTGTCGCGTTGCTGGGCGATGAATAACAAGCTTGTGTAGCTAGCCCGTGTATCTCAAACAGGAAGGAGAGTTGTGGTCAACCAGCCTGTATCACAGACTTTCAACGTGCCTGATAAGGTTCCCCAACGATTGTGGCGGAGGTGTGCTGCCGCCGGCACTCGTGTTAGTTGTGGTCGTTGCTTGTGGGTGACCGACCCTCTTGAGGAAGACGTTAGCGTTGGCGTTATATGCGTAGGCCGCCGAAGAGGGCGCTTGTATGGCAAACCTGGAACACAAAATACAAATCCCCATGTGCTGATTGGTCTATTTTGTCGGCGCGTATCCTTCATGTGCTGAAGTGTTTGTTGACTCCTGCCTGCTGGGCAAGACACCGGCAATCTCAAGCCAGCCTCTCTTGTACTGTACGTACGCACAATTTTTCCAGCGGAAATCAATCGAGCTGCATAACCACCACAAGGAAATGCCTCATCTTCCTCCCTCTTGCCCACCTACACTGGGCAGTCAGACAACAGAAAGTTGAAATCGTGTCTCGCACCACTCCGAATCTGCCCACACCATTCTGGACTGTTTTTCAGGCAACTGTTGACGGCGTCCATGCGCTTGCCCTCCCCCCTCTCCCCACTGATGCATGCACATCCCGATCGACCTGTTTCCTAACATCGACAAATCAGCAGCAAGTGATACGCATATGCGCGCGCGGTTGTTTTCTAGCGTGTTTTTCACATATCTTCCCTTCTTTTTTTTTGCGCCTTCCCCTCTCGCCTCTCATCTTCTGGCTACCCGTTGACATCATGGTCTGCGTTGGGCTCGGCTGCTGGCGGCGCGTTTTCCTGCCACACCGGCTGCTATTTCCCGTGCGGATTGGGGGGGGGGGGCCTGATCCGTCGTGTACTCCAATCCATACCGGGTTCCTGGGAAAAAACGGACAATGAATCTATGCCTTGTTCGCGTGGCGAAAACATCAATTTCAACACACACCGACGCGCGAAACGCGCGTCCTGCTTGCCTGGACTTCTTGCACACAACGGCGGTGTGTTTCTCACAACATACACTGAATCTACATGAACGGGGCGGAACCAAAAAAAAAAAAAAACCCCAACCCCCCCCCCCCNCGGCTCCATGGCCGGCGACGTCGGCTTCGACCCGCTCGGCCTCTCCAGCATCGCCGGGCTCGCGGGCGCGGACCTGTACTGGATGCGCGAGGCGGAGCTCAAGCACTGCCGCGTGGCCATGCTCGCAGTGGTAGGCGTGCTCTGGTGCGACACCGTCGGCTCTCTGCCGGGCTTCCCCTCGGGGGTGAACCAGATGAAGCTCTTCTGGGAGGTGTGGGCGGAGAAGCCCCAGTACGTTGCGGCCGGGTTCATCTTCTGCGGCATTATCGAAAGTGAGTTGTTATAGCCAAGCGTGGAATTGTGATGGTGGATTTTTCACGGTCAGCATGTATTGGGATGTTCACTGTCAAGTAGGCAGGAGGCAATTTTTTGCTTTTGTGAAGAGAGCCGAGATGGGTGAAGTTGCGTGGGTTGCCGTTAATTGTTTGCGGCAGCAGCATCATCGCTGAACTTGAGGGAAAAGCACACAACGAGTCAAAAATTGTTTTTAAGGTCTTGGCTAGGGTTTCGAGTTTAGTCTTTTTTGCGTATTGGAAGCCGTCAACCAAGGTCCGGCGCTGGTCTGGTTCGCTTGAATGTATTAAGAATTTCAAGAGTCGAGGGAGGGGACAACAGCGCTGGCACGCGAAAGCTTCGCACCAAATAGATGTCGGTTTTCGGTTTCGCGTGTATCCACTCCTCAACAGCCCGGATATCCCGTTCTAACCCCGTCCCCGGTGTTGAAAGCAGAGTATGAGAACTTTGGACGGCGGGGAAAGGGCTTTAGTCCATGCTCTTCTTCCACGCATGATTAATGTCGGGTTAGCAAGACGGTATTGCGTCTGATGGTGGGGGGTAAGGCCCCATGGTGGGGGTGTAAACCGTGGAAGGGCTAAGAATATCGTACCGCTCCTAGGCCGAGTCCCATTGTTCGATGCTGCCCCAAGGGCAACAGAGTGTCTGCCGGTGCCGACAAAGGTAGTATTGTACTGGAATGATCTCGTCGAAAGGTGTCGTCTTCGAAGTAGTCTTGGAAGTAGGTAGCGAAGTGTTCTTGCACGTATCGATTCGGTTCTCGCACCCTCGTTCGCTGTAGTGGGAGTATATGGTTGAGTCTTGAAAGGTGGTATAGAGGCGGTGCGATCGCCCTCACTGCTGTTGTGTTCCCATCTCTCGACGCTTCCTGGTTACGAACAGCACACCCGCCGTGGTGGTGGGAGGTGCCATCAAATCAAAACTTGCAGCAAACAGGACGCAATAATGGTAGTCACGCCGATACCCCAAATCCGAAGAAGCAGCTGGCACCGGGGGGCGGAGGCCAGCAAGATGCAGTCCCTCTCGAAAATCGAGACGTGTGCCACAAAATTGTACTTATGATGCCTGCGTTGGAGAAGTAGGTCGGCGTTTCGTGCATGCTTGCAGGCGACGGAAGAGGCGGCGCACGCGGCGTACACAGCTGCAGATCGCTCGTTGGATATTAAGCAAAACGCGGACATGATGCGTGCAAATTCTCTCTTCCAACACAACCGCTTCCCGCGGCTCTTGGGTGCCCGTCCCACACGAAAGATGAACAAACCGCCCCCCCGTACTCCCCTTTCGCGCCGCCCTGCCATCCCACCCCACCCCCACGAACCGAACTTGACTGGGAACTTGACTTGCGCTGGAAACAGTCATCTCGGGAATCGCCACGTCGTTGGCCCAGGAGTCGGGGGACCGGGCACCGGGAGACTTCGGCATCGACCCCTTCAAGCTCGACCAGAACCCAGAGAAGAAGGCCAAGCTCGAGCTGCAGGAGGTCAAGAACGGCCGCTTGGCCATGTGGGCGGCGGCGGGGATGATCATGCAGGGCCTCACCACCGACGGGGGAGCGGTGGACAACCTCTTCGTGAGTGTTTTTTCATTTTTTTTTGTGCGCTTGTTTGTTTCTTTTCGATGAGCCGAGGAGCTTTTGGGGGGAAGCTTTACCCGGTAATAATACGAAACATGAGTTTTTGGGGGGGACAGATCTAGGGAGTCTGCACACAGCATGGACGTGTATTCCATCCTTTGCTGTGGTGTTGTGGTAACAAAATTATCTCGACACACATGTCTGTGGCATTTTTTTTTTTCAAAGAGACTCGTGGGTTATCGAGCCGCCCCCCTTCTCCCCACTGTTTCTTCCCGTTTTCGTAAACCTGCCTTTGAATATGCTCTAACCCTAGCTTTCCTCAAAATTTCGTCGTCCCGGACGCTGTTGATGCGCAGGGCTAATTTTGTGCCGGACAAATCGTTTGGCTGCCTCTGGGCCTGAGGCCTTGTTCGCATCACATCGTGGATATGGTGAAAACGACAGCTTCTTGTGGCCTCCTATTATGCCGTTTTCGGGAGGCAGGTTGGGACAGGGGATTGTTCTAGAGGGGGGCAGAACGCCACCGTACGTTTTGATGCTGCTCCTCCTCCTTACTCCACAATCGACGAATGAACACACGGATTGTGTTTTTGGTTGTGGATACCTCTCGGGAGACTTGTGCGCCCTTTAGATCAGTCGGCTAGATGGGGTATTGCCTTTGTGGTGGCAGTCGAAGCGTTGAAGTTTGTGCGTGTGCACACGTCCAGCGTGAGAGTTTATTGTTTCCCTCACCAACCGTGATTCGGAGAACGAAAGTGCTGCAGCCACTTTGTTTTTCTGATGTATTATCTCGCTACGAACGGGCGCTCGAAGTAGTCGTTTGGACCATCGGTGGCCCTGCAAACTAACCTCTGGGAACACGCGCCGATCCCTGCGTCCTTTATTCCGTATTTTGTTGTTTTTGGACGCGCTTGGCTGTGCTTGAAAGTATTCGAGACTTTTCTCGCAACAGGCATGTTTGCACACCCCATATATGTCGGCACGTATACGGTAGCATTTGCCACAGGGTGGTTTGCCACTGGCTGTGTGTAGGCTTTTTAGATGCGTCTCCCGTTAATGGTTTTCGCAAACCGTCAAGTACAATACTTGTTCTCTGGTTTTGTCCAAGAGCAACTGCGAACAAGAGATGGAACCTTTCTTGTCGAGTTCATTTTGTGACAAACTCTCTCTTGACAGCGCGGTGAATCTCACGCAAAGATCGGTTGCACGATTCTCTGCGCTCCGTGCGTGCGCGTGTGTGTGCTTGGACGTTGCCGCTCGTGCGAGCGTCCATGATAACCATCAAGGGTCCAACGAGCAACGCTCGCTGTGGAAATGTTCGCCCCTGGTTTGCTGTTGGCTTGCCTGACCAACCGCCCTTTGCGTGTGTGTGTTATTATTATTAGCATCGACCGCGCGAACTGGCTGACCAATGAAAAGACGTCAGTCTCAGTGCGGTTGAAAACACAACACACGTTTATCTTCCATGAACTGGGACCCCGTGAGGGGGCAGCACGGGGGAGGCTAAACTACCCTTCGGATCAAAGACAGAAACAACAACAGAAGAAAACTGCACGTGTCTACCAAGGCCACTACCTTTCGTTTTGGAGTACTTTCACCATTATCCTCTTTGTGTTCGCTACCATCATTCTGATCCTCATTTTGACAAGAATCTCTGGGCAGTTCTTCCCTAGTCCTACCTTTTTTCTTTTGGGGAAGGTCATCTGGCCCAAACCCTTTGCTCTCGTCCATTCCTCCTCCATCGTCGTCTTCGTCCTCCTTTCTTCCCTCTTCTTTCCTTCGCCTTCGTCACTCCCAAAGGAATTACCCTCATTACTGTCGTTGCCGCGGAGATCCCAACCGATTGGCCGTGGTGGAAGTTGGTCGATCAAAAGCCCATGACGTTTGAACACATCGCGAGTTCGCATCGACAGAAAACGAGCCAGCTCGAAGGTAAACCATCTCCGAATTCTGCAAGTATGAAAAGCTTTCAGGCGGACTAACGCTCTTCTTTCGTCGTCAAAATTCTCCCGGCAAAAAGCTTCGTGCGCCAAGTGGTTTGCGATAGCAACGATGAGTCGATTGGTGCCTTTGCCAAGACCACCATTCGTTGAAAAAGCAGCAGTAAGGAGGGTAGATCTAGACGGGTTGAAAGTTCCCGCATAGTGATTTGCCTTACTTGCAGCTCGATCTTCGAGGGCTGATCCTGGCTTAAGGATCGACTTGTCGATGCTTCGNAATGAACTTGGTGTGTGTATGTGAAGGCGGTATGACATGGAGGGTGCGTCACCGTTTGAGTTGGTTGTGACGATATCCTACATCTACAGCAGACACCCGAGACACCTGAATGGCATGCATGCACGTTCATGACTTTTGATGGGTCTCCCCGGTGATACCGTATATGACACAAGATAACATACCCCCTGGACCGATTTTCAAAGCTCGATTACTCCACGACGAAGAGGATACATTAACAAAGCGATACGTTTTCGAAAAGCTCTCGACAAAACGGTTTCAACGCCGCCGTTTTTCGGCGCTGTGACCGTTCCTGCACTTGAGAAATCAAGCTTCGAAAATTGGTCAAGGGGGTGTGTTATCTTAAGTCAAATACGGCAATCCACACCACGATGCGGGTTCAAATTCTCTTGGGAGTGAAAAAAAATCATTCGGGAAAGCGTGCGATCATGAGAAACACGAGATGAGGGGGACCTGCCGAAACTTCCTCGCGTGAAAAAAATTGTGGGTAAGCACCGCAGGAGAACAACACCGCAGGGGAAGCAAGGCGAAACAAAAGAAACTCCACGATGACCTCGGCTCAGTGGGTGCGTCACTAAACTTCATGCACCGCCGCACTACGCACGATTCAAGATTCGCGGCTGGAACAGATCGGACGAAAACACAACACAATAGTCTAAAGAACAGGCGAGTCACCGTGTGATTTACTGGAGACTAGAAAGGGCTGAGTCGGCGGCCAACCGCACTGTGCGCATTGGTGCGTATCAAGGTATCAGACCGAAGTGCGAGTGGCTGCATGTACTGCTGTACTTCACTGACATGCACAAGGCATTTTTTTTTTTGCTCCTCGCCAAAAGCCAGAAGCCAGAAGCCAGAAGGGAACGGGAACCATGCATCACGCGCCAATGTGTCGTTTCGGTCGGCCGATTCCGCCGCCGCATATGTAGTCAATGGCGCTCCCGTAATAATGTGTCACTGCTGCTGCCGCGCTACTGCAGTGGCATGGCGATAGAACAGATGCATCTGCTTCAGGGGCATGTCTGCTTCCCTCCTTCTCAACCGAAATTCGAAGCAAGTCCGAGGCTCCGGCGCTGAACGGACTGACGAGATGGCGGTATCTGTCGTACACAAGGGGCTTGAGGCTCTCGCGAAAGCAAACGGCGTGTCCATTGTAGAAGTACAACATTCCCTTGAGCTTTCATCATGTACTCTCTGCTCGAGGCCGCCGGAAAAGGTGCCCCTACCTCCCCTGCACGAGACCGTCCATCCTTAGCAGGACCACCGCCAGCACATTTCGACCTCACCGGGGGCAACAGCATCACGGCCGGGTGCTTCTTGGGTGCTGCCGCAGCCGCTGCTGCTACTCCATGCACAGGGCCCCCACCCGTGACGCTTTCGACTGCGGGCACGTCGGAGGTGCCCATGGGCACGAAGAATGACGGGCTGTTCGGGGTTCGGCAACGGCACCCTTTGTTGGCGGTTGATGGTATTGCTCGCAAGCGACGTCATGCTGGTGTGAGCCAGAAGACCGCCCCGTGGAAAAACGCGAAGGGGCCAGAGCAGCCAGGGCAAACCAGCTGGAATACAAGTATCACTGCTGTTGGTCTTGATAAGCAGCAGCGGTCACAGCAGCAAGGCGCGGCAAAGACGCGCAAGCCTACAGGCAGCGTTGAGATTCCTGCCATGAAGATTTTTCATGGCACCGGTAGTATAGATTCCGAGCGGTCGCCTGATGTTGACGTGATGGGCACAAACGGAGGAGTTTCGGAGTTCTCTTCAGCCCACCCTTCGGATGACGAGAACGGCCAAGGACAGTATACCACCGACGTTTCTTCTTCCTCGCTTCATGAAGAATCAAGGCTCAACGGATCGGCTCCCGTGGTTGTCTCGCACGATAGAAAAGAGGAAGGGGTGGCAGAGGAGCCGGCAGTTCCCGAGCTGCTTCCGGATTCGCCGACTACTGCAGATGATGGAATCAACGCGTCATTTGGCAACCCACCAACTTCCACCAGGCCGCTCCAACCATCTAAGGATGGTTTCGGAAGTTTTCAGATTCCTGGCCCAACGTCATTTCTCATGAGTGCAGAATCGCCTGAAGACAATACCGCCGCTAGTTCGACTTCGGTGGAGCAGGAGGCCCAAAGCTCCTACAACGGCGGGGCTTGTACAAGGGAGGAACAACAGTCTTCGCAACAGCATCACCAGCAACAACAGCAACAACGTTTAAGAAAAGGAGCTTACCAAAAACCGGCGGACCTAAACGGAAAGAAGCGCGTAGGCAAGACAACACTTCAAAAGCCAGGCGGCAAGCTCTCGTCGTCTCAGCGACTCGACGGGATCATGGCTGCATATTCGAACAACAACCTTGTCCCGCCCATCTTGCCAACGAGCGCTGCGGCCACGAAAAAGGAGACCATGGCCGCGAAAAAAAGCGGGGCAAAGCGGACTGTTGGTGGAGGCAGCGGCGATGGCGGCAACAAGCAAGCGAGGAGTAGTACCAGGGTCGGGGCGGGTTTGTCGGAAGACGTGTCCGGCGGTGGCGGCACCACACGTTGGAGGCAAGGAGAAAGCGATAGCGCCGCAGTGAGAGCGGCGGCAAAGGCGGCAGAACGGATGAAAAGGCTAGAGGCCTTGATGAATGCGGCCATGGAGAGCCCGGTGACCTACGAAGAGCAGGTCCGGCGGGAGCGTCTGGCCCACCTTCGAGTCATGTACACGGTAAGGGAGCCAGGTGGACGTGTAGGATCTTCATTGTCGCCGCAGGGCGTAGTTGAACACGCACTTTTGCAAACGATAAAGAGACTGCCAAAGTAGCGTGGTTGAGCTGCCACTTCGCTTATAGATTCTGCAGGGGGTTGATTTGCTTGAGGGGCACGGGGAAAAACAAATTGTGAGCCAGGCGAACAAGGTGTGTAGAGGATGGTTGATTGAAATGCTGCCGGTACACGGCGTTCCGGAACGTCTGGTAGCAACTCGACGCCGTCCCCTTCCAAGCCTCGCCGAGGTGCCGCTGCCGAAACACCAAACATGTACCACGACAAACGGAAGAAAGCGTTGGCACGTTTCAGTGTCAAATGCATTGGTGTACGTGTAGCGGATGAGGGAGGAGCATGAGGCGGTCGGCCTTGTCGTACAACGAACAGCAAGGCGTGCTTCGCCAGGGTATCCTGCACCACCATCCTGCCGTAGTTCACACTGTGGATTTAGCACCGTACAGGGAAGGCAGACCCAACCTTGCCTTGAAAGTGCATAGATTGTGGCACGACTATAGATGGAACATCGCACCTGTTCGAGACGCTGTGTCAGCACCACACACGAAGAATTACCCGCCTAACGAGCAAAAATAGAAAACACTCAAGGCTGCTTGGTCTCATGCACAAAAGCTCACAACCCACCCCTTCAGGGAGGATTGGGCAATTGATGCTAGACAATGACGGAAAACTAGCGGCGCGTGACTGCTTTCGACACTCACCACCCTGTCCTTGTCCCTTTCCTCGGGGAAATATTATCATTCCAAGAATGAAGGGCTTGAGCTCGTGTATTTCTCTGTGCAGATCATGTGCGTGTGTTTCTACCCACCCTTCCTTGTTGATTATTTCGTCCGTGTGCTGGAGTTGCGTCACAGCCCTGCGTCGCATCACTGCACACGTGCAAAAGTTGTGTTTCGTGTGTATTCTCTGTCTGTTCCTTTTCCTCGTGTGTCGATTTTTGGGCCCCCCTTCCGATGTTGATTTTGCTTTGGAGCAGAAGCTGGCTGTTAGCACCCTGGCCCGTCTACGCCTTGCATGTATCTCTGCTGTTGTTGTTATTGTCGATCAGGTGGAGAAGGAGATGGCGGAGCTACCGGTGGACTTTTTGCGGGGGGTCGGCTACGAAGACTACGGCATGTAAGAACGAACGGACGCGGAGGAGTACTCTAAGTGATGGCAGGAGAACCACGGTCCCTCTTGCGTGAACAGGAACAAAAATCCAGGATACAATACGGGCGCGGCTTTCGTTCGACACGCAAATTTCTTACATAGAAGAACGTGCGATTACACCTCAAAGGGCCTTCGCGGACGTCCGCCTCTTCTGCCGTCATCTCGGGTGTAAACTCATCACTCAGCCAATGACGTCGGGCCTCACAAAGAATGGGTATCCCACAACGTCACTACATCCAAGAAACGAAAAGACGTTCTGTCGGTTCCCGCGCACTGAAAGAAATAGGATCCAGGTCTAGAACTCTACAAAGGGCCCGGGACCGGATATTTGTTGCCCCCCCCCCCCCCCCCCCCCCCCCCCCCCCCCCCCCCCCCCCC